AAAGCAAACGAAATAAGCTTAAAGATGTAGCAGATGTCTGCGGGATGCCGAAGACAAAATACCCTTACCCAATTCTGTGTCAGCTATATGATACATTTGGCTGTGCAATATATGTGTTATAGGGAAAAATGAACTCATGGAAAGCTATGTTGGGATAGTACCATATATATGAAATCGACTGATTGTCTGCTTTATAGGGTATAGAAATGTCTCGTTGACAAATGTTTACATACTTTTTGTATTATTTGTTATATTACAAAAACTATTATCAACTCTGGAAGAAAATGAAAATTAAAAGCAGCTGAAGCCTGCTACTATAGTGCCAATAATATAATACCCTCTGCGAGAGTATAACAATAACAGCTCGTGACACGTCCCTGCTAGGGCGCCCGTGATAATAAAATTTGCTTGCGGCAGGACACAAGCGACATAAGCGGCTCAACAGGCTGGCCAAGAGCTGTCGCCGACAGCAGGCGGGCGGATGGGCGGACGGGCGGACGGGCAGTCAGTTAAGCTGGGCGTGGCCACTCAATTGCCTGGCCACAAAGCTGATTAAATTAAATTCCCGGATATCGCGTGCCTTGAAGATGAATAATGCTTATTACGAGCAATTAGCTAGCGATACAAATCCTGAATCGAGACGATTCGAACAAGTTGAAGAGCTCAATTGTTTTGTTTGTGTGTGTGGGTGTAGGTGTGTGGGTGGCAGCCATTTCTTATGACAATAATTTTAATTGATATTTTTTGTTTTATTTTTAAATTGCATTTTTATTGGCAGGCGTTAAAGGACGCTGCCTGCTTTTGACACTTTTAAGTTATCATGTTTTTAATTACGCGCCCGGAAATTAAATAATAAAATACGTTCGCACAATCAGCGGGATTTTGTCTGCCGCATTTCCAAGAGCCAGAAAAATAAAACATCAGCTTAACGAGGTAGAGTGAGAATTTAATTAATCAGCTGAAAGGATTTTAACGTCATACAATTATAATAAAAAAATGCAATTTAAAATTGAATATATATCTGTATATTAATTAATGAATATGTATATTAAAAATATTTAAGTACAAAATATTTAACATTGCAAGAAATTGAATAAATTAAAAAAAAATATATTGAAAAGCAAAATTATAGCAGACACATATTCCAAATATTCCCCCACATTTTCTTTAATTTCATAACATATTCCCTCTACAGCCCAATTAAGGAAATAATATTATTAAATTAATCTAAGCGACTATCAGGCATAAATTTAAAATATTTAAAGCGAGCAAATTCTATGCCTGCGCCTCTCTACTTCCCCACAGCCATCCCTCTCACCCTCTGTTATATCCCCTCTAGGTTTTTACTGAAATTAGACAAAGTAGCGAGACAAACAATTTTGTCAACGCAAATTTTTCGGTAAGCTTCGCGCTTCATTTCTTGCGACCAACATTTTTTTTTGCTCCTCTAGTAAGGCAAAAATCCGGCTCTTTGCCACGCCCACGCGCCTTTGTTTGCTTGGGCACACGTTCCGCCGCGCTGTTTGCTTTGGTGGGGCTGATGATAGGGACTGTGACTAGGGTACTATTTCATGAGAAAAAAACCGAGCTCTTGCTGGAATTTGAGCGCTTGAATTTTGAAATTAAATTTTTGTTGCATGCTTTTGGGCGCTCACGAGCTCTTAGCGTGAATTGGCAGTTTTATGTGCGACAACAATGTAAAGCGAGACCGAATTCATAGTTGTTGTCTGTTTGTCGTCGCAATCTGCGCAGCTCGCATGAATAAATAAACACAAAAAGGACTCTGGCGCAGGACTAGCGCACGCTCGCTCGAAAGTATGCAACAATATTTTGTGCGCACTTTTCGCATTGTCATGAAACGATTTATGATATTCGCATGCATATATTTACCATTTAATGGCAATCGTTTATGATACTGCAAACATTTTCGTTAATTCCCAAGGGCAATAATCGCCCCCCAACAGTCTTTCTATTGACTGCGCACAAAACAAACAAGTGAAAATTTGTCGATTGCGTTTTTGGGCATTTGTTGGGTTTTTCGCTTACGCTGAGTGAATATGAATTTGACATTAAATAGGATTTACAATTGCAATTACAATAAAATATGATATTTGTTGCTTGCTGAATGTGCAATTGGTTTTTGATGTACTGTAAAACAAAATATTAAATTTAATTCCTTATTAAATAAAAATTTCATTTGAGAATAAAATATATATATGTATACATACTTTATTGATGTAAATCCTTTCTTGAAGAAAAATAATACAATTGTTGTTTGATGTACAGGAAAAAATATAAAATTAAATTCCTTAACGAATAAAAGTAAATTTCCAATTTTAATTTATTATACAATATGAACAAAATATATATAAATTTTTGATACAATATAGTAAATTAATATAAAAGAGGAATTAAAATCGTTCGACCACACTAATACTGATCTCGCCATGCAGTTAACAAAACAAGCTTATGTGCAGTCAGGCTTATATCAGAATTAGCTCAGTTGAAAGTCGTCCATGTTGCAAACCAGATAACAACGCGCTGAGCGTGATGTTCAGGGATCGAGCCCCCGAGGGGAGAACATTCTTTACTTTTATTGCGAATACCCATGCATTGTGTGTTGGTTATTTAAAAGGCTTTGTATCATCCTGAAATCGTCGAGAATAACATAACAAATTCCGACATAGCTTGCTTTTTTAGATTATTCATTCGACCCGGGCGATGCCGGTTAATTTCTACTAGTTTTATATATTTTGTAAGTTTTGGTTTTCTTTCTAAAAAGCAAAAAAACAACGTACATTTTAATTTGATTAATGGATTTGGAACTTGTTCCAAAACTAGTTCAACATCTGATTATAATTGAAAATCAAATTTGTAAAAATTTTGATTGTCTTTTGGTCCACCACATTAAATCTAAGCCTATTAACTGTTAACTAGTTGCTGCTCTTAACTTCTAATTAGGTCCAACCTTAACAAGAGCTTTAGTCCTTTTCACATAAATCAAATAACCGCAGGATATCATTTAGTTGATGCAGCAAACACCTGAAAGGCATTATTTCTAGTGCTAATATGAGATATGACTTGACTTCTAAGCAGCCAGCCTAAAAACACAACACACAGACACACAATGCACACACACACACACGCAGCACACACATGAGTGCACATAAGTAGTTGTCAATTTCTGTTGGAGATTTACGGCGTTTGCGATGCGGACGTTTGCGCCGCCGGCGAGCACATTCCACGGCACATCCTGTACCCTACCCCCTACGCCCCTCTCGCCCACAGCTCGAACCCCCTTGGAGCTAGCTGCTGGGTTATTAAATGGCAAATTCATTGTCTCTGTGTGGCGCACTGCTGAGAGGCAGGAAACGCCACACACATACAAACACACATATAAGGATAAAGATTCTTCGTGTTGTTATCCTTTCGCTTGAAGGACCGTTCGCTTGACAAGCTGTTCGGCCCTTTTTCAATCCTCCAACTCGGTCTTCTTCTGTGTGTGCGTTTATATTAAAAGCTAAATATTATGAGTTTAGCTTAGATTTTCTAGCACACACACGTCCAAGGAAATGCCTCAAGTGACTCAGGAACTGTTTTTTTTTCTTCCTGTCAAAAGGTGTGGGCCAATAAGTAGATATGACAGGCATTGAGAGCACTTAAGGTATTTTTAAGCCTGTTGCTAAGAAGGATTAGCCCTGAACTTCACATAAGAACAACAGTTAGCTGGACTATGAATGAGACTTTAACAAATCCTTATAAAAAGCAACGATATTTAGTTATAAGAAAAACATTGCTCTAAAGAAATTCTTGAAACTGAATAAACATAAGAGGTAAAAAAAGGTTTTTCCATGAAAATATTTTAATATGAAAGTATGTAAAGGAATATCTTAAATGCTCAGAGGTCCTTCAGTTAGTTAAATATAAATATATATTTATATATATACATATACTGTTTATCTGTATCAACAGCAGGGTCGATATAGCCTTAGCTGACTATAGCAAAAATAGTTGCAATAGAAAAAATCGGAAAAATTTAGTTCTTGCATAAAAAACACACTTGTCTTTTAACATATGTTGACCTACTGTGATTTTTACAAAACACCACGCTTCTTACAGATAAGCAAAACATTATTAATATATCAGTGAGCTATATCATATAGTTATATAACAAAAATCGGTTGTGAAAAGAGTTATATGGAAAACTTTTCTTTGTAACAAGTTATCTTGATGAAGAGCTCCACTTTCGTCCCAATATATCTTCAAAACCATATTAAATCTACTACAACTGTATCATATCTCAACTAAAGTAATATCCGGTCGCAATTAAAGCTTTCATTTATGGGCATTTCTTAGCGACATTTCTCCTAAGTTATTTTATCTTTAGCTTTCTTTCTACTCTTATAAATTGTTTTAAGTAAAGTCCTTATAGCAAGTTTCAAGAACACGTCAAGTGCTTTTCATGTTAACAAAAGTATAAAAAAGCCACCTTGTAGCTAGTTAAAAGAAACGCCATATTGAAGAACTTCAAGTTGTGTTACTTAAGGGATTTCCCAGACGAAGTGCTTAAAATAGCGCTGCACATGCCGCAATTTGTGGCACGCGCAACAGTTAGAGAGTTATGTAAATATGCGTAAATAGCCGTTAATATGTTGCGCTTGAGATGCTGATAAATGACGCACAAAAGTATGCAACAAATAAAGCAATAAATTTTGCCTAAGCCGGCAACTTGAGCTGTCAGTTCTTCGAGGCTCTCTCAACACTGTTAGGCAATCAACGGGTGGCATGGGGCGGGGCGTGGAGTTGCCTTAAAGGCGGGGGCGTAAAGGCGGCAAACATCGACACATTTCAAAATTAATTGACTGTAAATAATTGCGGCAATTTAGTCGTTGAGAGCGCCAAAGTAAAGCCTTCTGCTAATTGAAATGTTTTCAACGTGGATGCAAACAAATTTTTCACTCCGGAAAATTTCTTTCCATTTTTCCCTCTTCCATTTGCAGGCCGTACAGCCGCGCGCCTTTGCCGTTAAGGCCACAGAGGATATTGGCAATATGTCGCCCTGTGAAATGGAGTCCATAATAAATCAACTGATGAATCCCAGTCCCGAGTATCAGCTACACGTAAGTCACCTGTAAAACGACGAGAAGGATTACCTGGCCCCCTGACAAGCAACAGCTGTGCAGGCTTTAAGCTTAAATTGCTATTTAATGCCCTCTCTTTACTCTTTCTCCCTCTCCCTCCGCCCACGCCCCTTTCCATCAGGCTTCCGCTTTGCGCAACCAGCTGAAGAATTTGCTGCGTGAGCGGCAGCTGGCAGTGGGCGAGGAACAGCCACTGGGCGACTATGCGGACTACTTGGATGAGGACAAGCGCTCGGTGGCTGCATTGGCCGCCCAGGGACTGCTGAATGCGCCCAAGCGCAGTCTGGCCACGCTGGCCAAGAACGGACAGCTGCCCACATCGGAGCCCGGCGACGACTATGCGGATGCCGAGTCTGGTGAGCCTAGTGAGCAGAAGCGCTACATTGGCTCCCTGGCCCGAGCTGGCGGCCTCATGAGCTTCGGCAAACGCAATGTGGGCACACTGGCCCGCGACTTCCAGCTGCCCAATGGCAAACGCAACATCGCCACCATGGCTCGACTGCAGAGTGCACCCGGCACCCATCGGGACCAGCCCAAGCGCAACGTGGCCGCCGTGGCACGCTACAATTCCCAGCAGCATCAGAATCAGCGCAACAGCGCCGAGAAACGGAATCTGGGTGCACTTAAGTCGTCGCCGGTGCATGGCATGCAACAGAAGCGCGAGGATGAAGAGATGCTCCTGATGCCCGCTGTCGCGGCCGCCGCTCCGGACTATGCCGACTCCATGCAGAACTACTGGTGGTATCCCAGCTATGCTGGCTACGCCGATCTCGACTGGAATGACTATCGACGGGCCGAGAAGCGTTACTTGGGTGAGTAGATCGGGTGTGGGAGGTTCTAGTTCTAGTTGCTGCTTGGTAGCCTTGCAGAGAAAGTTCTATCTCTCTCTCTCTTTTCAACTTCTCAGTGTCCGTTTAAGGTAGAGCTGATTAACAGCGGATCCGTTCAACTATAAATCTTTTTGTTTACCCTTGCAGAGAGTACTATAATTAGACTGTCAAACCAGATCGAATCGATCGTAAAAGGGAAAGCTATATAGAACCAAGGCTGCTAACGTAGCTGGTTCAAGCCCGGAACTACAATTTAATTTATTTTATGAACTACACCTTTGGGTACAAACCTGAGCTGCAAGGCTACAATGTCTCGAATCTGCGGCTTGCCGTAGATAGTTTTTCCCAAACCCTGTTGAACCACCAGCACCACTGCACCTAGTTAGCGGCTTTACGGTACCTTCTTATGCACAATTTTGTATATATATATATGCCCTACCTATGTTTAATCGATCGGCACTAAAGACACCTCCAAGGATCCCGAGTTATTTGGCATTGAGCACGGCATTGAGGCAACTGATGCCGGTGCTGCTGTCCTTGCTGAGGAGCTAGAGGAGGAGGAGCAACAGCAGCAGCAGGCAACCCCGCAGAAGCGTCATATCGGCGCCGTTTATCGCTCCGGTTTTCTGCCCAGTTACCGTTATTTGCGCAGCCCCACCGGCAACACCGTCGGCGGCTATGGCGGTGCCGGCGGGCGCTTTAGTCGCTCGGGACGTGCCAGGCAATTTGTATGAGTAAATGGCGATGGTTCGATGTGTGCTGCATAAATTTATTTTATAATTTCATTTAATTGAGCATTATTCTTTGTGTGATTCGGTTTAAGTTCAAAGTTCAAGTTGTACCCTGCCTGCTGAGTCTCTCGCCTGTCGCCTGCAGCCTGTCGCCTGTGTCGTTATCTACAGATCGTGAATGTAACTATAATGCGCGGCTCTTAAACCTTTATCCAATACTATACGATTCGTAGTTGGCGCATGTGAGCATCGACTTTTAGTGCTTCTTTCTTCATGTACTTAAAATCTTCTGTAGAATAAGACAAGCGTTTCTATTGGTAAACTAGATATCCTTTAAACAACTTAGAATTATATCTTAGCCTAGCTTTGAAAGGATTAAGGCTGGTACTTACTTATGTACGTATCCTCATTATCTGACTCAGCCTTACAGAACATACCTTAGCATACCCTATACAAAAACTAACATAAGGAGCTTAACATGGTTTAATTTAACCTCACATAAGCTTACGTAAGCTGACATAACCTTGAACAAATCAACCTATCCTCATCACCTGACATACTTTTACAGAACATAGCTTAACATACCCTATAATTTATCACACATAGCCTTACCTTGAACTCAACAAACTTATCCTCATTACCTGACATAGTCTTACTGAACATAACTTAACATAACATAAGAAAACCTAACAAGCCTAGACAGAAACAGATATAACTTTCTTGATCTTAAAAATGATAATTTCAGGAATTTGTAAATGGCTACCCGAACCTAAAATACCAGAATTTCGTTTCTATTGTGTATTTTAATTATATTATAGGAATCCAATTTATGTTCACATTTCCGTTAACACATTCGAAATACAATTTCTGTTTATATCCAAGCTGTTTTGTTAAATTGACTGTCGAACGAAAAATTCAATTTTCCGTATGTTTGGCAAATCTGCGCACATTTTTCTTTACCCTCTCTCCTCTCTCCACCCCCTCCATACAATTGCGTGTTACGGATAATCGTCTAATTTCCGGCATTTTGTTAGCCGGGCGGCAAACCGTCGCGCCCTTCCTCTTCGTCCTACAATGTGCGGCAGTTCATTTTACTGCAGTTTATTTGCTGCCGGAAAACTTTTGAGGCGGGGCCCATTCTGAAATGTGCTTTATTTCTATTCCCACGCATTTAGCATTCAAATGCGATAATTCAAATAGTTAAGCGAAAAGTTTCTTTGCGAAGCCTTCGCGATATTTCAATTAAAGCCGTTTTTTGTTTCGAAAAGTTTTGTTTGGCACTTGGTAAAAAGAAGGAATTAAATTTCCACTAACAAAGTGGGCTTGTGGCTGTAGCTAAACTGTTCCCGGGAATAGTTGTCATTCTGTTGCATACCTTTGGGCAGCCGACAAGAGTTTTAGTAACTGTTCCTGCTGAAAATATAACTGTCACTCTGGTAAAAGTTGCTAACATAGAGTAACAGAATACCAGATCTCGAAATAACCAAAAAATCTTAGAAAAAAAAAATGAAAATATAAGAGTAGTTTCTTGAGGATTTGTGAAACAATTTGAACTTTATTAACAAATTAAATTATAATTTTTGTTTATTTAAAAGTCAATACGATCTCCTGTAAATAAACAAATTTAATAATTTCTATATGTGTTAAATTTTTATGATATTAAATTTTGTCTGACTTGTATATGTATACTTTCTTATAAACATGATTGTATTTAAGTGTTTGATGTTTCTTTTGGCTCATTGGCATGTTTCAAAAAAGAAAACCCATTGGCATGTTTCGACTCGGTCTATGCTTTTATGCTTATTTTCTATAATTTTACTTCGTTATCTAGCCGAATAGTAAGTGTGTAGGACAGATAGAATATACTTATATAAGAGCATCTAACCAACTAAAGACTTGTATTGAAAAACAAGCGTTTTATATTGTGCACACATAGTTATCGTACAACTGTTTAAATGTTTTTCGTTTCATTTCGTTTTTGTGTAAGTTTAACTAAACCGATCGAGAACTAATTGGACCTATGTGTGGGTTTTGTTTTTGTAAACTGCAGGTCGGGTACTACCCCCAACACGAGCGACTGCGTCAACCAATCGCAGCCGTTTGTAAACGTTGTTTCCTACCCAATCGACCGATGATGAACTGGAGCGGAGCTGGCATACGCGGTAGTCTGTCCAAAATCTATGCGGATCCCATCGAGGCGGCCAGGTCATCGGCGGCAACAGCGGCGCGCATGCGCAGCATTTCCACCAATTCGCTGCCGAGCGGACCAGCCAAATCCATTAGCCGACCCATCTATCCCCCCTTTCACTCTTGGGGCACTCCGCCGCGTATTACAGCACTGCATCGAGGCGTCTATCGACGCAACGGTGAGTCCATGGACAACTACGAATACTAAAATATATATATATATATCGTGACAATATAATCTAAAATACAAGTAACTAAAACAGTAACAATAACAATAGCATCGTATACAGACTTTATGATAATTGAGAACATATATAAAACAGTTATACAGTATTTTCGATGTAGTAGTTCTTAACACCGTCACAAACACACCTGCAGCACACGCAGCTACGCAGCGCAAATGTATCTGTATCTTAAAATTTGCCGTAGTTCGTTGCCACTCGAATACGTATCTGTATATCAAAATATACATAAATATATGTATACAATATCGAATAAACAAATCTATCTATGAATAAATGAGGTAACTGATGCCAGTGCAAAGCAAAGGAACGTTAAATATCAAAACTAAACCATATCGAATTTTCATTTAACTCAAGACAAACCAAAATAGAAGGAAGTGAAAAAAAAAAACAATAACAAATTAGTGCCAATGCCGTACCTTAGCAGGAAGTATTGAATTTCAAACGCAGGACTCTGATCCCAACTTACCCTAGTTTTTGTCAGTTACTTCGAACTCCCTACAGATTGTATTAACTACTTCTAATACCTCTATGTGTGTAGATGACAATAACTAATATTATTAACATGAAAATCAAAGGCCCCAGTTCTAGCCTAAGTTGTGGCCCAAATCATATATATATATATATATATATAAACCATATATATATCATGATTTAAGCATTCGTACACACCGAAGAATGTTTACTGCGTCAAAGACAATAATTAAGAAACTTTGGTAAGAATACTGCAAGACAGACAATAAATGAATTGACAATAAAACTCGAAACAAAAAAATTATATATTGAAAAATTAAAAAAAAAAAAACAAAAAGAAAAAAAAATTCTATTATGTATTGCATTCAATCATTTTTAAATATTTATTTGAAAAATACCCAAAGAGAAATCGAATATAAAAATCTAACTAAAAAAAAACATATTCAATGTGCGTAATTATAAGTCTGATGTTGTCAATAATTAACTTACATATTTATTTCCAATTTAAAGTATTCCAAATGCAAAATATATATAATAAAATATTTAATATACGAATATATATATATATATATATATACGGTAATATATACATATTTACTTAGTTTATCTATATATGTATTTATCTATGCTCAATGCGGAAAAAGGCGCTGTAAAAACATTAAACACTTAACAAAATGTTATATCCATATACAGAATTATATACTAAAAAGAATACTTCAAAGTAATATCTTAATAATATAACTTACAAATATATATACATACTTATTACCGGTTTGCTCCTAAACTAATGAATTTCCTGTTGTTTCATTCTGCGGGTTGTGGCTAACATACATTTTACATCATTTTTGTTATGAGTCGGCACACTGTGAACGAAATTTGTGGATCGAACCCCTATAAAGACAGAAGAAAGAATTCAGGCTATTAAACTTTAAAAAGTCCTTAAGATTTATCAAATATACATCGTAGTTTTTACTTCTAATTTCTCGTAAGTAATTATATTTTGGCATAACTTTGAATACTGAAAATTTCATTAAAATCATATAAGTTTTGGATGAGTTATTCGAGAAGTGAGTGTTGGAAAATTTAAGAGCTCGTAACATACTTACCCTTTGTTTGTCATTTACATAAATTCCCTTCCTTACAATTAACCCCAAATAATACCACATTAATTTTGTTTATGTTATTTCTATATTTTATACATAATATCGCTTTTCGTATCTTAGATCATAAAAAATAAATATACTTAGCGAATGGAAACACGTCGTCTTGGCCCAATGCGCCTCTAAAAGCCGTGTAATGTACATTCTAAATAATATAATATTAAATTCTAATAAGACGATGATTTGCATATCGGTTGAATAAATAGGTAAGCGCCTAAGATTTACATGTGCCTCTGCTGATAATTTTAATTGTCATATGCATTAAGTTAAATATTCTACAGCTAACTCAAATATCGTATGCAAACGGGGGCTGTGTGTCGGTCTGTGGGGCTGTGGAGGGAGAGGGAATGTCGTCGCATCTATTCGGCCTAAAGTAATTAACTCATGACCAGTACTTGGCCGTCTGACCCTGGGCGGGCAGTGGATGATTGTAGGCAGCGGCCACATTGCCATGCGCCGCAGCAGCCGCATAATCAGTCAACTGGTGCTGGGCGACCGCATGGTGAGCCGCCGCCGCATTGTAATTGGCCGCCGCTACCGCCGACTGGTTGAGATGGTAGGCAGCTTGCGACCAGTTGGAGGGCGACTCCAGTTTCGCATAATTATCGCTTAAATGCAACGATGGCGAGATCTTTGATACACTATCCGCAGTCAGCTTAGAGAAGTCGTCAATGGACAACTTGGAATAATCTAAAATTGGAGAGAAGAGAAGAGAAGAAGCATACTGTTAGAGAGGTTACTAAATGGGAGGAAGGGAAAAATTGAGGGGAAATAGAAGATAGAGGCGTGACAGGCGGTGGAGATAAATGTAACAGTAAATGGAATAAGATTATGGAAGATGTGGAGCTCGACACAGACGAGATGAGAGAATAAGGAAGAGATTGAGCATGAGGTGGGGAAAGTGATAAAGAACGAGACATATATTTTGATATGTTAGGGATACGAAGGAAAAGTTGGAGGTTGAGTTGTAGAAGGAGCTAAAAGAGAAAGGGTAGGATCAGGATTAAAATAGGAATAGGAAGGATGTATTGAAGTGGGAGAAATATGGGGTTCATGGGAGTTCCAAAAAGGAATTCATCTTGATTTGTTTGTACCCACCTTGATGATAGTAGTTCTGGCTGCCAAAGTGGCCATGCTGCGCAAAGCCGCCCGGGAAGCCATGCTGCGCCGCGCTCTGCACCAGATCGTAGCCACCCATTTGTGTGTGATGATGAGCCGCCGCCGCAGCGGCCGCTGCACTATGGGAGCTGGGCGCATGGGCTGTGGTGTGATGGTGGTGGGTGCTGTCGGTCATGCCCGTCGCACCACTGGCCGTGGTGCCCGCGGCGGGACTGTAGCCCGCCATGGAGCCAACGCCGAGTGGACCAAAGCCGAGTGGTGCAGCAGCACCGCTGACGGAAACCCCAACGCCAACGCCGGCACCGCTGCCATTCATGGGCGAAAGCCCGGAGCCAGAGCCGCCCGAGTGTTTCCGCAGACGTGCACGACGATTGGAGAACCAGACTTGGATGCGCGCCTCCGTCAGGCTGGTGGTCTGGGCGAGCTCCTCCCGCGTGTAGACATCCGGGTACTGGGTGCGTGAGAAGGCGCGCTCGAGTGCCTCCAGCTGCTCGGCGGTGAATGTGGTGCGGGAGCGTCGCTGTTTGCGTTTCAGCGGAATGCCCGGCTCCGATTCGGTGTCGCTGATGTCCGAATCCCGGCCTGGCAAAGAAAGAGACTCACTTTATTAAAAGGCTACTAAAATTATAAACGCCTCGTAAGAAGTCATAAAATTTTATACGCTTAGCCCTGCTGAATGGAATATATATGGAAAAAGTTACTAAATCATATTCGATGGGGCCACCGACGTGGTGAATCGTGTGATCCCCTCAACTAGCGATCGTATGAGAATGGGAGTTTGAATGGGAACAGGGAATGGGAATGGGAGTGTCGACGTTCACTGCGCGCCATTGCATATTAATTGAAACGTCAGGGAGCGCAACAAATCTGTCAAAAGCAGCCGCCGCCGACGACGACGACGATGATCGCACAACAGAAGTCAACAGATGATGCGATCCGCTGAGAGGGGTTCGCTGAAGTTGGAGGTGGGGCGTTGCCGCAGGCAGCTCGTAAAAGTCACCACAGTTGACAAGTGACACAATATATCAAATTACACAAGAAGATGATCGGCAAGTTGTCAACGAGCTGGCGATTCCACCATGGATGGGAGCCATCTAAGGCCATGGAGCGCTATGGAGGAGTGCGCCAATTAACTTCGGCGTCTGTTTACGAAAGTAAATGCCGCCTTGGCAAGAAATCGGGCATGAAGCGCGGCGTGTGGCAGAGCCGCCGCGATCATTGGTTGTACACTCGGTTAAAGTCGGAGGGCATGCCAAATTATTTGGAGAGCTCATTACACAATAAACTGACATTAGGGTTGAGTTTTTTTTTCTCGCTTGGCGACGCAGCAGTTCAAAGAAGTGGGGAATTATTCAACAAGATCACAAGATCATTTTTCATAAAGCAGCAGAGGCACACACACTCACACACACTTGCCGTTGAGCCTGGCTTTGTCCTGACAGCGGAAATACTTTGCTCGCTTTCTGAATCGAAGGCACGATTAAATCGATCGTCCTTGATCGTGTGCGTGTGTGTGTGTGGCACAGGAAGAGCTCGAACAATTTGTGGTCAGCCTAAGCGCGTTGTAATCTTTTCCGGTCTGTCCAGTGGGAAAATATTAATTGGTTTAGTGGATTAGGCAACTTTGATTTTATTTGGCTGATAAATGAGACTGCCTAACAGGCAAACAGGAAGTGCGACTAGACTGGACTATGTATTGGAATTCATTATTTTGGTAGAGCTGTCAATTGAGTGGAAATCAAAAGTTAGGTAGGGAAACAAGGGGACTTGTTTTACTATGAAATCTTTAATATTTTTGTAGTTCGAATATTCAGCGGGTTTCAGCTTTCATCACTCTAAAGCTAACTATTCCCTTTTGTTAGGAACAAGGTCTATGGATGATCGAACTTTTGAATTTGCATAAGTTTGTACAGTCTCCTAGCCACACCCAAGCACCTGTCCAACTAATCAATGCAAATCTTGAAAATAGGATTTGCCAGAAACCCAAATCGAAACCCAACAAACCCTCAATTGTAAGCTTAAAGTTTCAGGCACGCTTATAAAAGTCGTAAAGCTTATAAAAACACACCCAAAATCACAACAACAAAAATCCCTGCGAAAGCAAAGAAATCTTCAAGTCTGGAACGCCCACTGTTTAGTGGTTCGAAATTCAAAATTCACATGCGTGGAAAAAATGAATAAAAACAGAAGTCGACTATTAATCTTTCAACACACGCAACAATAAAACTTAATTATAAGAAACGGGTTCCCAAAAACTGCAGAAGCTGTTCAATAAAACCGAACGCCGAGTGAGAAAAACAAAAGAGCGTGAAAGAGAGAGAGAGAGAGATAGAGAGAGATTAAGAGAGCGAGAGATAAACAAAAATCAATTAGTTTTTAAATGTTAAACAATTTATTAATTTGTTGTTACTACAACTGAGAAAGAGCCGGAGTCCAGGTCCAAAAACAATCCACCAGTCGAACAATTTAACAATTTAACAATTTAACAATCCGATGGTGGCCCCAAAAACAAAGATCAAACTTTTGGCACCACTGTGGCTACCGGTGGTGCTCCGTGGCTTTTATGGCTTTCTTTTCGAGCGGCTCTGTGATAAATTGCTGTGTGGTTTTGTAATCCGTCCGGGGTATCGATCATTTTCAACGACGTTTCGGACTGCATTTTCAAAACAGCAGGTAG